GAACCGAGGTTACATTTGTAACTGAGTATGATTTTAACATGATTACAGTTTTTCTGAATTGCTAAAAACAAATTTTTTGAAACCATCACAAATGTTTTCAAAACCTTAAACACAAATCCAAATACCCAAACTAAATTCACGAAACCTCTGACTCTTCCATCAAAATCAAACAATCACTGCAAAACCATTTAACTTGCACTCAAAATCAAATGGTGCTCTCAGATCACACACGAGTCAATAAAGAAGACACTACAGAGCATTCATTAAACCCTACAGAGAAAAATGGAGAACACAGCATCCAGAACATTACAGCAAAAAGTATATTGTATTGAGTAAACAATTTTGCAATTCTGTAAAAAAGTATAGTAATTGCAACTGAGTAAAGTGAATATATTGTGTAGACCAACTGTATGTACTGCAAGAATAGTATTGTGCTGAATATTGAATAGTACTGAATGTTTGTATATATTCAGCACTTGGATACTGGTTTGATCACATCATTAGAAACAAGTGTGAACAATTTTGAATCGTTGTGTTTAAATGATGACAACTGTGCTTTAGTTGTGTTTAGCATTTTGCAGCACAAATGCATCACAGTGTGATAAGTGTTTAAGTGAATGAGAATTTGTTTAGAGTTTTGCAAAAAGAGTGCATGAGATTTGCAAATAGAGCCTAACTGCCTGAACGTGTTTAAGGTTTAGCAGAAAGAGTGTTTTATTTGACAAATTGTTTTATGCTAGTGAATTTGGTTCAGAGATTGGGGGTGTTTTAGCAATTCAGAAAAACTGTAAGACAATAAACTGATTAAGAATCTACCATGTAAACAGATTTTTTTTTCTATAATTAGATTACTGATGTCCATGTAAACGTGACAGCAGACAGCAGGACCTCCCCTCTCACCTGATGCCTTCTGTTGTGCAGAGGAACGTTCAGACTGTTGTAGTCACTCAGCTCTGCAGGAAACACAACACTCACAGTGACACACATGACTAAACACCAAACACACTTGTGTGTGTGTATGTGTGTGTGTGTGCGTGTGTGTGTGAGTGTGCGTGAGCGTGTGCGTGTGAGTGTGCGTGAGCGTGTGCGAGTGCATGTGAGTGTGCGTGTGAGTGTGATTGTGAGCTTGTGTGTGTGTGTGAGAGAGTGTGTGTGTGTGTGTGTGTGTGTGTGTGTGCGCGCGTTTTTGTGACAAATGAGGACATCAATTTGTATAATGACAAGGGTATGACAAAGTAGGTGACTTTTCAGGACATTGCCCCATGTCCCCACTTTTCAAAACACTTATAAATCACACAGAATGGAGTGTATTGAAAATCTGAAATAGCACAAAGTCTCCTGTGAGGGGTAGGTTTAGGGGTATCAAAACAAAACCACATTTGCATGTCGCACCTGAAAACGCATGGAAAACGCTAGGCACGCCGCTTTCTCCTTCTCTCCAAAGCACTCTGTAGCCTGCGCTCTGCGCGTGCGCTCATGTGGCGTCTGCCGTTGCTAAGCATACATGACCTGCGCTCTCCATGAAGACGCGGAAGTTTCAGCAAAGGAGAAATGGATTTGCAGCACTAAAAATCCCTTGAGGTAGCTCTGATACTAAATTTATTTAAAAAAATGTCTATCCTTGTACAGCTATGATCAGCTGTTTCTCCGTCTTGGCTTAGCTTTCAATGTTGTGAAAGGCAAAATCAATGCAAATCAGTGGATATGTCTGCTATAATAGGATAGGTGTGTTGAGGCCAGTTGGAGCTTAACTCTGCAGGGCATTGGCCCTCCAGGATCTAGTTTGGAGACCCCTGTCCTACAGAGTTGTTACTTTGCACATGCTTTTTGTTCATTACAAATAATAATGTAAAATGATTTTCTTAGAATAGGAGATATGCTGTCTCTCGCATCACATATATTATCAATAGTTAAGTATGTGGTCTTGAAGAGGATCCTTTTTTTCTCTCATTTGGACTCGGTCTTGACTTGGACTCGAAACTTTTGGACTTGGACTTGACTTGGACTCGAACCTCTTTGGACTCGGTCTTGACTCGGTCTCGACTAGTCCTGGTCTTGGACTTGTCTTGGACTCGACAAAGCTGGACTTGACTACAGCTCTAGTGTGTGTGTGTGAAGGAGGGCGCAGTAACTTTTTTTGCAGGCAAAGTGATCGACAGGCTTCCCTCAGTGGGCCCTGACAGCTTAAGCTGAACCAGCAATGTTAAGGTAAAAATGCATTGCACTCGCTGATCTGTAATAGATGATTATATAGATCAGTGATTGCACTGCACCTTATTTCTCAGGCCCACTTTCTTAATTATACACATTCAAATGTATTAAATTAACATGACCAAAACAACAACAAAAAAAGCTCATTTTTAAGAAGCAGCCCAAATTTTGTCCACCTGCCTAATGCATTTTTTCCCGGTCCAACCCAATCAAAAGAAGCCCAATCTGGCAACACTGCACACAACTAATTAATGACGTTCACTCCGCTCCCACAGTCAAGGAAAGTAACAAACAAAACAGTAAATTCATTACATTGAAGTCCATTTCAGTTGGTATGCTATCAGTATTATTAATTTGTTTGTTGATATAGATGATGCTTTGATTAGTGTTTTACAGTGAGTCTGTATGGCAGCAAATGACATGCACGTCTCATCAACACTCGCATTGTCACCCAAAAATTTATTTATTGTGCAATAATGTGTATTTCATCTCATTAATTTCTTTGCATTTAGGCAAAACTTATAATTGCGTATTACAATCACTCACAGAATGAATACATTGATTTACACAGAACTGTAAGTGAAATAAACAGTAATGTTAATAGTATTTTGAGGTGGGTCTATCTGGTTAAAAGCCACATACAGTCACAACTGTTCTGTTGGAACATCCCTGATGAATGGCATCTTAATGAGACTAACGAGCACAGACGAGGGAGAGAGAGAGAGAGAATTAAATTGAAAATGTTTTATTTAGAACATGCACTCAGCCAAGGCTCTTTTATGTCATCAGTGTAAAGTAAAGTAATGTTTTTCAGAGTTGGGCTCTGTTTGTTTGATAGATTTGATTTGCACTACATGACATGCTGAGTTTGCCTCTGTTTCTAATCAAGCTCAAGCATTCATGTACCATTTAATTTGAGCGCATGACTGGCTGTTACGTTGAATAAAGGTTATTATAAAAATGAAAGCATGTAGTGCCTGTGAACAGCACCGTTTCCATTCACATACAGTGCTGTAATGATGGTTTTGTGGGCAATTCATTAAACACTCACCAGATGGCGGGATGTATACATGGATCCGATGTTACACAAAAGAGAACTGAAGGACGCTCAATTTCAGAATAAATGTTGTTAAAACAGATTATCGGCCGACTTCTAGTTTGTACTCAAGTTCCGTGATTGCAGCATTATTTGTACTCAATATCTTTTGCTATATATATATATTTTTTTTTGTTTGTTTGTTTTTTTGAATGCTCTACAAAATGTATATAAAAGAAGTTTCTCAACGCATAATACATATATAACAGATACTCAGGAAAAAATAAAAAAAGTTATCAAAAGAATTTTGATTCATCAAAAGAATGTGTTAATTAGTTGGTCAGGCGATTCCCATGTTTACAAATTGATCTATCTCTGCTGAATGCAATGTCCAAACTTAGCCAAACTTGGTATATTTAGACAGCAGGTCATTGTGAAGATGCACACCACATTTTGTCAAATTTTCCCCATGAGGGCAACTACAGTGTTTATCTCAGTGTGAATGACAGATGACGGCTGTAATGCTGATGTTGTCCACACTGGATAAGAAATCCTTTAGGGTGTAATATTTTTCCATCAGCCCTGATTTCCCTTTTGAAGTAAGTTTTTGGAACTATCAGAAACTGACTTCAGAAGTCTTTTTTTGGAACTATCATGTATTTTTCTTAGCTCTTTCATCAAACCTTAACCTAAAGTATCTGTGGAGATTCAAGACTGTAGACTTTGCACTAGACACACATAATACATGATTGTTGGAGAAGCATCACAGGTGACAACTCATGATGGAAAGATGATGCATGCCTAAAGTGTAAAAAAAAAAAATTAATGAATAGGATTCAGAATAGGGCCTGGAATTAGTTTTTATTCTTTTCGACATATGGTCAGCGACAGGAGGACCTTCTTAAGGGCTGCTACAATTTATATGCATTTTAAAAAGGTTTGAGGGATTTTACAACCCTTTGTGTTATTTTGCTATTTTCTACCAATACAAATTAACTAAGCATTCAAATCAAATAGGAGAAATTGATATGAAGCTTTTTACCACAGAGATCTGATCTCACCATCATCGAGACGGTCATCGAGAAAGTCAATTGAGACTTAAGAATAAAATCCATAAAGGAACTGTGGCAACGCTTGAGAAAACAACTGAAGGTTGTTGATCATAGAAATCTTCTGGAGCTTTTGTTCATAAAGAAAAATCTATAGTAGAGGATGAATTCAATATAAACACACAAAATAGGATAATATTCCGGTAACACATATTGAGGGAACACATTCATTATTAACTAAATTTTCCCTCAATAAACTTCTCATTTGCTGCTAATTGATATTAAATAAGGCAGTTGTTGTAGGGTTAGGCATAGGCTACAGGGGTAAGGGATCTACTAGTAATATGCATCCCAATAAGCAACTAGTTATAGTGAATAGTGTTCCCTAATCTAAAGTGTTTCCAGTATTGCTTGCTGCTTGATTCTACCTGAAACTCATCATCAAATGAAACTGGTACATGACTTTACTGTGTATTTGACTAAAACATCTCAAACAGAGTAAGGATCTTTACTTTCCTATTTCACACCAACACCACACTGCAATATACCATTTTTTTAAAATAAGGACCTGCTAATTTTTCTAACAGGTTAACCCCCCCCCCCCCCCCCCCCCCCCCTCCCTCTCTCTCCCACACACACACACCCTCTCTCTCTCTCTCTCCCAATCTCTCTCTGCAGCTCAGGGCTGGACCTATGAAAAGGCCATGAGGAGTCAGCCGTCCTCCCAACATCCGTGTCTCTCTGCAATGCTGGAACTGGTGCATTGGCAGGATCCAAAGATGTCAGTGCTAGCGTTTGCGGTCTCCATGCTGGTGCTGATGTCTCTAGCTGCCTTCAGTGTCATCAGCACCATATCTTACCTAATCCTGGCCCTGCTCTGTGTGACCATCACATTCAGAGTCTACAAGTCAGCACTGCAGGCCATGCAGAAGTCTGATGAAGGACAACATTTCAAGTACGTGAGGCCTTGGATGTTGGATTTTATAAATCTCCATTCACCAGTCTGATCTGTTTGTGACTTTGATGATGAATGAAGGTAAAACGCACAAGAACACAGGGAAAGTGTCTAGGGGAAAGGCATTTATTTACAGTTCATGTGTAAACATCTAATAAAGCCTTTGAAAGCTTTTGAAGCCGAGTCGAAGGTATCAGAAGTAAATGAGAACGGGCTAAAGACAAACCCCTGTGGAACCCCTGTGCTGATTGTAATAATCAAAAATCCAGCACCGTAAGAAATTGTCCGCCTGCTCTGCCTCAGCTTACCCTTATTCAGTTATTCAGGACATGATCAGTAAGGTTGTTTCACAGTGTGTAACTTGACACCATTTACTTTATTTTTTATTATCATTATTTTAGGTAAAAGTAAAATCTGACCTAAATTATAAGCACTTAAAAAAAACACCTGGACAGAAGACTAATCCATGGCATCACGGCTTATTACAGGGAATGAGCGGTGTTGATCTAATTGCTAGCTGTAGTTTAAAAGAAACAAACAAACAAAAAACAGTGAAGATTAAGATGAAAACAGGCAATATCCAAAAACTCAGGAACTGAATTCAGGACAGATGTGAAACACATTGCCTCCCTGTCACACACATTATTGCCCAGCTACCCACTGATATAAAAAATACAGAAGAAATAAATGAAATACAGCAGTGATTAAGAGATCTTGAAGTGACTTATGAGTGATTTGAGATCTTTGCACATCCACAGAGTTCTAATGGAAAGAGATATCAGTGTTTCTCCAGACACGGCCCGCCGGTACATGGACATGTGTTTGGAGAAATTAAACACGGCTCTCAGAAAGACGAGAAGACTTGTGCTTGTAGAGGATTTGGTGGATTCACTGAAGGTATATCCATTTATCTACAACAATTTACAACTATATTTGTGTCTACGTTTTCAACATTTCTGTTTCGTTTTGTTTATTTAAAATATCAATGTTTGCTAAGACAAGCTGTTATGTCCTTGTGCTCCCGGTTTCTGTTTGCTGTGTCTGGTTTTGTAGTCCCTTTGGTCTTTTTGTTGATCGTTCCATTGATTTTCTCCTGAGATGTTTCTTGTTATCTTGTTAACCCAGTCTGTGTATGTAGCCCTTTCCTTTGTTTCTTGGTCAGTCGATGAATATCGTGTGTTTGTGTGTTTCTGGGTCTCTGTGCCTTGTTCCAGTTTTTGTTATTTTATTCTTGTTCCCATGATTGCACAAGCATTGCTATTTTGGTTAGCAATTTGAATGACCCCTGCAATTTGGCCCTGCAGGCTAATAAAATGGGTGGAAATGAAAACAAATTTTACAGACACACTAAAAGAGACCATATTCATGAAAATTCTTAGTGCAAAGAGTTGCTCCTAGTGACACAAATCTAAGAAAAATATTTAGTTAACTTTTTCAACTTTAGTTAGTCGGTAATGTTGCTGTTTGAGCATAAAAAAATCTGCAAAGTTACACAGTTCAAACTCCACTTCAAAAGGAGATATTTTATTTAACAGAAATCACTTTTCAAAAACTACAGCGAACGACTGTTTAATTTGATATTGATTTGATTTTGACTACACTGAAGCAGGCGGCTATGGTAAGGGACATGACATTTCCTGACCAAGTGCCGAGTGATGCCAATCACAGCACATTTTGTATTTCAGAAGGCGGGCCTTCATTTGATACAGGAACTATTCGAGTCGTCCGTGCCAGACTGAGCAGAGAGGTGTTGTAATAATGTGAAATATGTGAAAAATAATGTGTTTTTCGAACAACCTCATATGAGAGCCTGTTCTAGTACACCCCTAAAACAAAATCAAGACTTTGTAATAGAGCATAATAGGACCCATTTAAAGAAAAGATCCTAGTAAAGAAGAAAGTAATTCAGAAAGCATATCAACCCTTAAAAGAGCTCTTAAGGTCCAAAATTATTAGGAGTACTAAGGAGGACTTTTAAGAGGCTTAAGAGTTTCTTTAGCAGTGGAGAAAATCAACGAAACGTGAAGAGGGAGAAGAAATGTATTGCACACAATACATGACAGTGAGTTAATAAGACACTACACATTAGATCGTGCAGTGATCATGTGTGGGACCGATATTATTAGAGACACGCTAACATCTCGGACACAGTTTAAAAATGCCATAGCGCCAGAAAGTAATCACTGCATTAATTACGGTCACGTTCACACTGTCAGTTTTTTTAGGGCCTGACAACTGCATTTCCTTACAGTCTCGAAATGTCCCGTTCAAACAGCAGCTTACTGTACAGTAGCATCTCGAATACTGTCTGTATGAATGTACGCTCGCATCCTTTTCTGCGTCTCGCGCATGACACTGCATTTGAGTCACGCGCATTAATTACGGTCACGTTCACACTGTCAGTTTTTTTAGGGCCTGACAACTGCATTTCCTTACAGTCTCGAAATGTCCCGTTCAAACAGCAGCTTACTGTACAGTAGCATCTCGAATACTGTCTGTATGAATGTACGCTCGCATCCTTTTCTGCGTCTCGCGCATGACACTGCATTTGAGTCACGCACTGTGACGCACAGAACACAAAACTGATGGAAACCACTCCAGTGAAGAACAGTGACTGGATCTAAAACCTTCAGATGACAGATGGCTCATTTCTCCGTCGCTCTACCCAAAGTGAAACCACACATGAGCGGCTCTCTCGCACTGTACTACAACTAGTTGTCCAGTTCATACAGCGCGTGTTTTCTGAGAATGCGGTCGTGAGTCCTGAAAATGTGAGTTCGGTTATCGAATGCGGTTGTCACTCCCGTAAATAACTGTATTGTGTGAATGTAACCACGTTATGGACCCAAATAAAGGACTGACAACTGTATTCTGCTGCTGTGTGAACGTGGCTGTACATGCAGCAGTGATGATTTTGGTCTGTCATAATCTTCTATAAACAAAGTGATCACACAAACAATTACAGCACTTTCAGAACCTTATTGTGTCGCTGTTCGTTTCCCATCAAATGCCTTAAGTACAACATTAAGAGCATGGTAAATAAAGAAGTAAGAATATATATATATATAAATATATATATATATATAGTAATAATAATTAAATACAATAAATACAATATATATACATACACTGAACAAAATTATAAATGCAACACTTTTGTTTTTGCCCCCATTTTTCATGAGCTGAACTCAAAGATCTAAGACTTTTTCTATGTACACAAATGGCCTATTTCTCTCAAATATTGTTCACAAATCTGTCTAAATCTGTGTTAATGAGCACTTCTCCTTTGCCGAGATAATCCATCCACCTCACAGGCCACTCTAAAATGTGCAGTTTTATCACACAGCACAATGCCACAGATGTCACAAGTTTTGAGGGAGCGTGCAATTGGCATGCTGACTGCAGGAATGTCCACCAGAGCTGTTGCCCGTGAATTGAATGTCAATTTCTCTACCATAAGCCGTCTCCAAAGGCGTATTAGAGAATTTGGCAGTACATCCAACTGGCCTCATAACCGCAGACCACGTGTAACCACACCAGCCCAGGACCTCCACATCCAGCATCTTCACCTCCTTCTTGAACAACCAGCAAATCACAGACTTCAAAAGGCTGTGTCATACGTAGCAACGGGGTCAGCCCCATCTCCTCACTAAGATGAACGTTATTGTCTTTTCCTCACTTACAGTTGCTCTCAGATTGGTCCTGAATTGCTCTTAAGCGAAGACTCCTACATAGAAATGTTTAAGCTAAATTAGGAGCTCTCTGAGAGGATTCTTAGAATCTTTAAGAATACGGGCCCAGAATGTAACATTTTATTATTAGCTGTTTCAACACATTTATGTTTTACCTAATAAAAAGGACAGCACTTTTAGAGTTTCATTCCCTAATCTGATGTGAGCATAAGTATTGAGAAAATGTTTAAGCTAAATTAGGAGCTCTCTGAGAGGATTCTTAGAATATTTAAGAATATGGGCCCAGAATACTATAGAGAGTCTTTTGACAACAACCAGGACTTTTGCACGTACCAATCCATTAGAATGAAACGTCTCAGGTTACGTATGTAACCATGGTTCCCTGAGTAGGGAACGAGACACTGCGTACTCTAGGGGTCGCTATGGGGAATGCCTCGTCATGACCCGTGTCTGAAGCATACATTGAAAAACACCAACAACACGTTGGCCGGCGACAGCCATGATGTCACTACCGGTGCGGCTATAGTATAAATAGGCGCCGGGAGAACACATCATCCACTTCTTCATCTGAAGCTTGCGTCCGAAGCATGGCAAGAAACCTAGATGATGCAGTGTCTCGTTCCCTACTCAGGGAACCATGGTTACATAGGTAACCTGATACGTTACCTTTCAAGGGAACTTCGAACTGCGTCCTCTAGGGGTCGTTATGGGGAATGGTATACCCACGCCATCATGCTGAGGGGAGTGCATGCCAGAAACCATGGCGAGCACTAAGTACCAACTCTACCATAGCCATGGGAGTTGCCCCTGGGACGTTAAGACGGCTGTCAGTGACATTATCCCCTACGGCCAAAGGCCTAGGCTACATGCGCCAAAACTTACCTGTTAGGGCCAGAACTCCTGGGCCCAGTGTAGAGCTCAAGTCTGGGAATCAGGAATAGATTCCTTTAAGGGAATACGGCCAAGAGCCTAGAATCATACTAAGTATTGGCCTGTCACACAGGGGCTACCGCATGCTCTGCATATGCTGAAGGAACTGTCTCAACAGACCCCTACTAGCAACACCCTGTTAAAGTAGGTATCCAGAGGATACATAGGTGGAGTGGTGCCCAAGGTGGAACCTGGGCTTTAACCAACTCAAGAAAGAGCACGAAGCTGCCGCGCGTAACTCTTACCATACAGGATTTTAGAAAGAATGCAAAGTACTAGCGTGCGAACTTTCCACAGTGTGGATTTTATAAAGTGTACAAAGACTTCATGTGCACACTTACCATAACATGGATTTTAAAAATACCGTTCTAAGGGTTTCTCGTGACACTCTGAAAGAGCAGCCCATAGATGGAAATGGTGCATCCCAAAACACTATGTTTGAGAAGTCATCAACTCGATCTAAGGTATAATGCTGGGGTGGCTAGCAGTAAATCTCTAGCTGAGGGAGCAAACACCCAGCTCTCAATCGAGAGGGGGGCTCGACCTGCAGCATGTTCCAATGCTGGAACAGCTAGCAGTAATTTACTTAGCTGAGGGAGCAACACACCCAGTTCTCAATCGAGAAGGGGGCTCGACCTACAACATGTTCCAATGCTGGAACGGTTAGCAGTAAGTTACCTTAGCTGTGGGAGCACAACACCCAGCTCTCAACGACAGGGAGCTTGACCCACAGCATGATCGTTAGAAATCAGAAGGATAAGCGTACTGCAAGCTAGCCAAAAAACTCAGCGCATCAGAGAGGCGGAGGAAGGGCCTAGTTCGCCTGATGCTGCTGGTTCCAGGTGCTCTGGGAAAAACAGAGAACTCAACTCTCAGTCAGGTGGAGAGATGGTGGTTACAGGGGAATTAGGAAGGGGAAGATAAGGGCATATGTAAAACCCCCGAAGGAAATGAGTAGACACTGAAGTATCACTCTGATCCGGACGAAAGCACTGACACCTTGTCTGGATCACATCTCTTAGGTCTTGCATATCTCCTTTTGACCCATGATTCCTCCTACCCCTACCTGCAGGCGGGGAGGAGCGCGGGCTGCGACACTAGCCTTCCGTGCCTGTCTCTGATCCTCAAACCGAGACGGGCCAGGACCCCTGGGTTGTTCGGGCTCAGACCTGGACCTTCGTGGAATGAAGGA